CTCTTCCGGAGAGACACACAGCAGAAGGAGCCTCTCAGGAGTGGATGAGGGCCACTGCTTGCTCTCCTGTGCCAGCATCTCCTCCCAGGCCCCTTTTGCTGTGTGCTGGGTGAAGGTCTCTCACCTTGGTGTCATGCTCCTGTCCCTGTAGGGTCCCCCACTTCCCCTGGCACTGCAGCCACCATACAAGTCCGTACGGCTGCTGCTCTGGCCACCCCAGCAGCTGGGGCACAAACATTTCATGTGCCAATTGATGGAAACATCCAGCTAAGGGGCTAACACGTGCCAGGTCCATCTTGGAGATGGTGCTGCCTTGTAGCAGGGGCCTTTAAATCCCTCTTCAACTACATTGGCAAAGCATCCCGGGATCTGCAAATATCCTCTTCCAAAAAGGAATACCTTTCTGCTACAGCGAGCTTTGTTCCCGTGGCTCTCCTGTTCCCACACTCACCGTTGCCCAGCTCCCAGGAGATGTTGTACTTCTTGCTGGCACTGTATTTCAGCAGGCTGAGGGCATTGGAGCTGTTCCAGGAGTTGTTGGGATTTCGACGCAAAGCATTCAGTGCAAAGATCAGGTGAAGGCCAGAGCAGTCAGCAAAGTTATAGAGTTTGTCTAGAGACCTGGCTGGGAAGAAACAAAAAACAGTTTGTAATGCAAATGAAAGCTAGTTCCAGGGAGGTTCAAATGATCCTGCTGTCCATCAGAGCTTGCCTTCTGTGTAGGAAGAGCCAGGGTCAAATGCCATCCCCATGACATCTGTAACCGCAGAAATGCACCTCACCTTTGAAACCAGGATAGGATTCCAGGTGCGGGCTCATCTCCTTCCAGCATGAAACTTGGATGCCCTCCACCACTGTGTCAAGAGCTAGGGGCCATGTTACCAGAGACAAGTGACTTTATAACATCTCTTTTCATCTGCTCTTGGCAAGGAAAGTTCAGCCTTTCCTGTGCTTATCCTGCCTTGCATCTCTTTCAGAGCAGACCCCTGCGGTGCCTGGGGAGCAGAGGGGAAATCATCACTGAGGGCTCCCAGCTGACGGCCGTCTCTCCCGCATGCCACCACAGCCTGCTCTCCATTCCCACACCCCCTGGGCAGTAAAACCAAGCCCCAGCAATAATCAAGCAGAGACTCCAAGACTTGTACCATGCATGTGGCTAACCTCTGCTCCGCACACAAAGAGAGGAGCTTCGTGCCACCCCTTGAACTCGGGAAGAGAGGAGAGCTCCCTGCCTGGGGACAGCCTGGCCTAGCCCTGCTGCTGGGGTGGCCCTCCTGGGGTGCTGGGGTCTTTGCTGGATTTGTGTCCTACCTACCGGTCACAAAGCTCCCCAGCTGGCATCTCCCCTGCCATACTGTGGCCTTGATGAGCAGTGGGGCACCAGCCAGCAGCAGCAGGAGAGACCAAAGAAAGAGCTGACCCACTATTTGGGGATGAGTAACATTAGCCCAGGGCACCACTGGGAGAGCCAAAATGGTTAATGCCTTTTTTTGCTTCAGTCTTCCCTGAAAACTCATAAGCAGTCAAATACCTGATGAAGCTAACACCAATGTTAGTAGGATATGAACTCAGGCGACAGCGAGAGGAGATTTGGTTAGAGAGTAATTAGATAACTGTGGTGTTTTCAATCATCCCTGCCTGTTGAACTGCATCCCAGGACACTCGGCAAGCTTCCTGAAGCAGCCTCGGAGATGCAACCACTTAACTGTGAGGAGCCACCAGGGATGGGGAGGTTCCAGGGGGGTGGGGAGGGCAGACCGAGGGCTCCGCTTTCAGAAGAGGGGAAGGAGGTGCTGGGGAATTACAGAGTAGGCAGACCGGCTTCAGGTCCCAGAAAAATACTTGGACAAATAACCAAGCTGCTTGTCAGCACTTACAAAATATAAGGAGATGATCAACAGCCACAGGAATGTGTCAAGAACAAATCACACTGAAGCAATCTACTGACAGGAAAGCAGGGCTTGCGGGCAAGCAAAGCAGCCATTTAGGTCTTCTACCTTGATGTTTTTTAAGGCTTTTGACGCAATTGCACATGATATTCTCTCTAATAAGTGAGGTAACCCTGATGTAGACTGAACTACACTGTGAGAAATACACACACCAAGAGCAGCTACCAGTAATTTGCTGTTAAACTGAAGGGTCTAGGCAGCCTGCTCTGGCTCTTTTTACACATTTCCAATAAAGAGAGGCATGAAGGAGTTAAGGATACATACACTAGACTTGCCATGGCACTAAGGCGATAGTGTGCACCACCATGGCCAAGGGAGGTGAAGGGGATGGAGAGGAGGTGACCGCATGCTCAGGGAATTGCTCCAAGCCCAGGGGCGATGCTCCCAGACCCCCTGTACCTGCACTGCCCAACCAAGGTGCAAGTGAGACGGTGACAGACGGGAGCTGCTTGCTCCGGTCAGGATAAGCTGCTCACAGCCTGTACGTCTGCGTTTATTCTGTCAACTTTCTTGGTCACTGAAAGCCTCGGTGAATACGGAGCCAGCTCTGAGAAGAATGAACTTATTTTAAAAGTAATGTTTTAAGGAGGGTCAAGGAAATAAGCTAACTGAATAGCTAATGTTTAATGGAACGCAGCAAAGTCATGGAAAGGAGAAGAAAGGAAAAATGTGGAAAAGAAATTCCTAATCTCTTTCACAACCTTTTTCTAAACGCTACTGGTTGGTTGAGTGAAAAGTAGCTGAATTAGATTAATCTAATGTATTCATCCCACTGGTTCAGGCACATTAGCTGTTTTTTCTGGAGGTTTAGTGAACTAGAGACAGATACAGTTACTTAATACCCACTCACTTCAAACCTCCAGGCAAAAAGCTGCACTTTAAATGAGACTCTTACAAAGAGGATAAGATAGGTATCTAAATGACAACAGGAAGATAGCAAAAAGCTGTTACCTGCGGTTCCCCTGCTAGAAACTAAACTTTTTCCCTGGCGCAAAACAATTGTACTACAGGAGGGGATTTGGTTCGTGTTTAGGAGCCTCTGCAGAAGACTGGGAATTGATTTTCCATGCATCCACTGGAGGAAACAAGCCATCTGTTTATCCCAATGCAGGGCCTGCCACTGTGAAATTATATTTTCCCCATGACACTTATTCTGTTTCCGTGCGCCTGAACACAGAGATGCCACGTGTATTTCATGTTCTGCCATGACTTTCCAAGCTGGAAACCTCAGCAGTCAGAGGAGAGAGCTAGGAGAAACACACAGATGTCTGGGGTTGCTCCTGCATGTTTCCAGTGGTCTCCCAGCCCACAAACCAACCTGCAGGCTACAATGAGGCCACAGAGAGCAAAAAACTACTAATAAACCTATCTCGGCATCAAACCAGATTGTTAATATGGGCACTCTTGGTACAAAGAGTATCAGAAATCAAGTCCGCTTATCTCCTTCATCCTTGGCAGTTGTTGTGGCATAGTGTGAACCTGGAAGCACCAATCTCTCAGTGACTCTAGCAGAGCCTTGGTGACCAGTTTGCACAAGATGCCCAACCATTAGTGGTTAAAGGGCACATCTGACCCCTCCTGAGATGATTGCCTTACACCGGACATCTCCGTTGCAGACAGCCGCAGTTAGATGAGAAGAGTACAGTCATGGGTAGGTAAAGCACAAAAAGAAGCATACTTAGAAGACCTCAAGTAATGTCCAGCCCTCCATAAGTACAAACAAGGCCAAAAGAGAACAGTATAAATATTTTGCTGCCATAACTAGGGACGGCCACGTTACTTCTGAGTAATGAGAACATGAAGAATCACAGTATTATTAACAGCTGGCTAAAACTCATTCTGAATTCTGCATAATTGCACTATTTTTTCTTCATCAAACACAGAAAATCTTGTAGGAATTTTACCTTTCCCCAGCTAACAGATCATTAGGCAAGGCTTTCACAAAGTATTTCCATAGAAAAAGCCAGTGTTGTACCAGGATGAATCTTAATAGAGCAGAACTGGATTTATAAGACGTCCTCCCTGCCCTTTCTCCCCCTCTGCCTGGTCCAGAGATGCATGTGCTCAGCACTCATCTGCCACTGAGCTCAGGGAAAAGGAATAAAGAAAATTTAAAAAAAAGATCAAGGAAAAAAAAAAGAAAAAAAGAAAAGAGAATTAAAAAAAAGTGCAAGGATGCTGAGAGTCAGCTTCTGCCACTTACTAACGCTCATGTAGTCGGAGCGAGGCTAACCAAGGCAGCAAAGCTCCATTCCCTTGCACACCCGGTGGCAGTGCTTGCTGGTAGGTTTCAGCGGGGACGGGTGCCTGCCTCGGTGGGTGTGGGACTAACAGCAGCCAGTAAGCAGAGACAGGCCCCACGGCCCTGGCACAAAAAAGAAACCAGAAGATATTTGGGCTTTCTCGACCTTTTACATGCAGAAGCTTGAACGCATCTGCAGAGTGAATACCACCCGACAATGCATGGCTGGGTGGCCGCCAGTGAAGATCTGCTTGCAATTCTGCCCTCAGCTGAAGTTCTGCACAGGAATTAAAGATTTTTGCTGTTTACATGGATCTCACCCTGCACAGAGGGAGACAAACAATTTCAAAATACTGGAGAAGGTGTCTGTGAGGCCACAAATGGTGGTGGGGTTCATGGGACAAGTACGTCCTTTGGGATTCTTTCCCATTTTTCTCCTTTTTGTATGGGGCTAAATTTTAAAGTTCTCTGAAAGATGGATGGCACTTAACTCTGTGGCATGCCAACACAAAATCTGAGGCACATTAAAATGTCTCTGGCAGTTTAAAATAATTGGAAAGACTTTCTAGTCGTAGTTACTAAATTAAACATTATACTAGAGACTTTATAAAGAACATAGTATTGACTGCCATTTGGTAAGAGTGACAGTTCAATAATCTCTGGGTTTGAAAGTCTTCCACATTTTTTATTCTGCTTTGGGAATTTTGCTTTGGCAGGGTTTAGCACAAAGAGCGGAAATTCATGTGCACGCTGAGATGGAGGCTGAGATCAGCCAGTGGGCTGAGGGGTGGTGGGGTACGGCATGGCACGGCATGCCAGGGGCTTTCGTAACTCTGGGAATTCAACCAGGAGGAGAGGAAAGAAGAGCCTGTTCTCCCTCTATCCCCACCGTTCACCACGTCCGTCTCTTGCACGTACAGCGTGTGCCAGCACTGAGAAGGATGGGGTGCGAGCTGAGCTTGGAGCAGGCAGCACACATCGCCCTCCCCAAATCTGCAGGTTAGCTGAGAGACCAAGCAAATGCACAACAATGAACCCTTCTGTTGATAAAGCAAAGAAATACCCATCTAGAAGTAACGATTTTAGCTAATCATGGGTATTGCTCGACTCTGCATTCCCTATAAATTCTGAGCAATGCCTGGAACGTCCCTGCAAACAGCTTCTGGTGCCAGCGTGGAAGCCAGCAGCATCCCCTGCCTCTCAAGCACCCCAGAGGACACAGCAGAGGGAAGGGGTTGGGAAAGACCTGGCAAAGAGAGCTTTACAGGGACAGGGCAGAAAGGGCGGTACAGAGTGTTCAGACAAGAGATGAGTAAGATGGCTAGCAAGAGCAATGAATGGAAAAAAAAAAAGGTATTCCTACTTACGGAAGAACAAGTGGGTACATGGAAAATTTACTTACAAACAAATTGCCACCATAGTCAGCTGAATCCC